ATTCTGTTGCATTTATCTTTTTTCCCTCTCCAGATGATCTTGTTCATATTCCTCTTTCTTTTCTATTCCTGCTAATGCCTATTCAAACATTCATGCCCTCTAAAATAAAGGATACATTGGTGGGATTTCAGCAGTCACATCAAACATTTCCTTTTTGGAGAAAGTTTCTGATTTCTTGGCTTCCAACAATTATCGCCTGTCATGACTGAGTCATATGGATTCTAATGAGTATCCTCTCAAATGGGGGGTTTGCACTGGAAAAAAATGGTGATAATCCATGCACAGAAGAAATAAAGTTGATGTTCTGGTCATGAACATAGCTTTGGTTTTCAGTATCATCTAATCCTTCCTAAGAACCTTATTAAGATGCTTTCCCTTGAAAACTTGTGAATGTGACTAGACTGATAGATTGGTCTTAAGAACAAAGAATGCAAATATTACTAAGAGACCAATCTGGATAGCATTAAACATTATAGATCCTAACAGATTAATGGCCGTTTCAAAATGCTTCCTTGTTCAGTTCAAGACGGTGATGCTAATCTATTCTGGGAAGATGTATAAACAATTATACTCAATTGCTTGCAGCCATCACCATTGTACCCATCTGTCATAATGGGTAGCATAATGGGTGTCATCCAGCAAGTTTTTTTCAGAAAACAAAAGAGATCATATATAGAAAAACAGAAGAGTTTTGTTGGGACATGATCTTTCAGAATTTCAAATCAGCACTTTGGGGAATTACAGACCAAATACATCTTACATATATTGACTTCTATTGCTTCCTGAGATTCAGCTGTTTTCTTGCCTTCATCCGTCAGTTGCTTTTATCTGAAAAATCGCCATAGACAAAGCTAGAAAGATGTCATCTTGCCCCATTCATATTTTAGTCGAGTCTTGGTTTCAGCTTGATTATTCCCCATCGAAAGCTACAAGGCGCATTTGGAATTCGCCAGGCAGGTTTAAATGTGATCCAAACTCTCATAAGATGTTGTGTTATGGGTAACCCACTTCCTTAGGCGGCTTGCCAACTACTTTTCTGTAGTTCACAGACAGAAAAGCATTAATATTTTAGATGACCTTATTACTATATAGAGTATATATACTATATAGAAGTAAGGAAAAATTTTCTGAGGACCATCAACCAGTGGAACAGCTTGTTTTCAGAAGTTGTGGGAGCTTCATCACTGGAAGCTTTCAAGAAGAAACCAGACTGCGAACTGTCAGAAATGGTGTGGGGTCTCCTGCTTGGGCGGTGTGTGTGTGTGTGTTGGACTAGATCAGGGGTTGCCAACCTTTTGGACCTCAGGGACCACCAAACTCATAATTTTAAATCCCGCGGACCACTAATATGAATTTTGACTGACAGTGGCTTGCTGATGTTGGTGGGAAAGTTGGTCCCATATTCCAGAGCTGCAGTAGTCACAGGACTGTCCCTTTGGTCATCCCGGAGCAGCTGCTCCTCCACTCGGGTGCACCAGCCTATCATGGACTGGAGGAGCTGCTCTGGGATGACCGAAGGGAGCTCTGGAATATAGGACCGACTTTCCCACCAATGTCAGCAAGCCACCCCGGGGCCAGATTTCCCTCCCCCGCTGTTGGTCTTACCTTCCAGTTCCAACTCGCGTGGCTCTACTCAAAGTAAGGTTTGCGCTCATCCGAAGGATGGGGGACAGCGGGTGAGCGGGCCATGTGGGCGGCACAGCCTTGTATTCATGCGCAGCCTGGATTAATTGCTTTGGGGGGAGTGCTTGGAGGGGACATTTCTGTGCAGACCACCAACATTTTCTCGTGGACCACCAGTAGTCCCCGGCCCACTGGTTGGTGAACACTGGACTAGATGACCTACAAGGTCCCTTCCAACTTTGTTATTCTGATGTTTTGCAAAAACAATTTGACTGCCCAGCAGTAATACTTGCAATTAGACTGACTCTTGACTGTATAATTTGAGCTTGGTGCATTAACTACATCTAACTGAGTTTAAATGATGATTGATATTAGAAAAAAAGTTTCAAAGTTCCTAAATCTATTTTTTTTTTCATTCAGCTTTAAATTCTTACTGGCATTAAGCTAAAATGGGCTGCAAGTTACTTGGAATACTGAGTAGGAACACTGTTTTAACAAATCAATTACGTTAGGGCAAAGAATATTTCATTAGAATTGTAGTATATGACCCCTGAATGAGATTAATTCGACAAAAGATTCTTTTCTGGGTATACTGTATCTCCTCAAGGATATATAATTAAGGTTGGAGTTCACCTTGTGTGTGTTGGAAGTGCGATTATATTGGTTTCTGGATTTTAAGCCTGCTCTAGGCCGACATAATTTTGGTTTTCAATGGTATATGAGGTGCTCAAAAAGGAAAACACGCTTTTTGAACATGTTGCAATATTATTTTGAAGTACAAAGAATGCTGGATCTATAGCTATTGCTAGGAACATGGTTATATTTTAGTGGACCCAACTTAAAACTCTGGACAGGCGGCTACTCTTTACCCAAGAATTGGCTTTCTATGGATGCCATGGGAAACTGATCAATAGTTTCATAGAGCCAACCTTCTTGTTTCAGACTTGATGGAATTATACAGGATGGACCAGAATTCATGCCCCATAGACAATCTATCTGTGTGTGTGTGTGTGTGTGTTCCAGCATAACTCTGAAATGCTTCGAGCAATTTCAACCAAACTTGGTACACAGATGACGTACCCTCTGGAAACAAATACCGTGGGGGTAAGACACCCCTAACACCCGCCGGGGAGGGATGTGCCTTAAAATCGCTTCTACTATACAGCACAGTGAAGTTGCCATTGTAATAGTTTCACAGTACTCTAGTACTCCACAAGGGGGCTCCCTCTCAGCCCTCCAAGGAAACATCAGGCAATCGGCCAAGCGCAATAAAAAAAAAAATGAAACACCAGCGTAAACAACAAACTCCCAAGGAGAGGAATAGGAGACTTGTGACACTGGGCAACAGACAGCACAACAGCGTGAGTCGCGACTACAGGATTTTCCTGTTTAATACATGATTGGGATAAATAAATACCTGGGCAACGCCGGGTTATCGGCTAGTTTATTATATAAATTACAGTAAATGTTCAAACTGGACCTTTAAACATTCCAAAGCACGGTAACATTTTCTCTAAAAATATATATATATTAATAAAATCTATTGTGATTGGGGGACTGATTTTTGGTACATTCTATATTTGTTTGAAGATTATTATTATCTTTTGTTCTTTCCTCTTTTTTTTGCTTTTGCCCTCTGTGTTCAAGTTACATTCCAGTTTATTTTGGTTTTGGTGCTATTTAAACACCTGGTGGTTTCTCTATTTTTTTTCCTGTTATAGGACTAGACATATTAAAAAGATACATTCAGGATACACATTTTGCAAAAAGCAGAGGGAAAAGATCTGTACTTCGTGCTCTCACTGGCATGACGTATAGTTCTGTGAACTACAAAATCTTTCACGTTCTGCCCAGTAGTGGGTTTCCAAATTTTCCCCTACCGGTTCTATGTGCTTTACGCACCCACGGCACAAATACACATAGCTTTGACAACCTGGTGAGCTGCCTGGAGTGTAAATCAGCTGAGCTTCGCACGCGCGCAGCACAAATACAGAACTCTTTGAAGGCTTAATAGCTGCCTGGAGTGTTTTTAAGCTCAGCTGAGGCGCGGCAATCGTGCGAATCAGC